CGGCTCCCTACCCAGACTTGGTCTCCATAACAGCAACAGAATCTTTCCCGGCCTGGAAGCCGATCTGATGCATGGTCTCGCCATACACAGACTTCTCTCTCTTAAATTTGGCCATCTCGGCTTGATGGGCATCCCGCTGCCGGCCCATAAGTTCGCGGACCTCGGCACATTCTTTACGAGTTGCATCATGCTCAGCCCTTTCTTTCAACAGCTTACCTTCCACCTTCTCGGCCCTGGCTTCCAAATCCTTAGAATGTTGTTCGGCGAAAGCAAGACGCTCTTTAAGTTCGGCCACTTCGGTTTGAAAGGCCTTCTTCTCCTCAGATAACGCCGAGATCTCAACTTGTGCCACCTCCAATAGAGCGGCTTGTTCAGAAACTTTCTCTTTCAACTCGGCCTCAATCTTGGCTGCCTCATCCTTCAGTGACGCGATCATGATATCTCTCTCTGTCACCGTTTGTTTTTTTCCTTCCAACTGGGCAGCGATTCGGTTATGGTCGTCCTCAGCCGCCACCAAACTCACTAAAGCCCAGCCCAGACATGCCTTGGCATAATTCAATTTGTCCACACTGGACAAAGAAGAGACCCCAACTTCGGATTTGGGGTCCCACACCATCAAAGGCACCCGCGCAGCATTCTTTGCGTTTTCCGGCATATCGATCCTCGAAGACATGTGAGGAGATTTAACTGATTGAAAAGTAGTGAACCACTCCTCAACCACGCCTTCGAGCACCTTCACATTCGCAGCTCTTTCATCATCAATGGACAGAAATGATTTCTCAAACAGAAGAGACTTATCAGCACCTTTCTCTGAGGCTCGACGACCGGAGTCGTGTTTCTTCTTTGATCTTTTTTCCACTCCGGAGGAAGCTCCTGCATCGGACATCTTCACCAATTTCCTATTTTTTCTCTTCTCCGGTTGATTGGACTCCACAGACTTCGGAGAGGATGATGGTTTCTCTAGCACCTTGGGGTGCGTCGGCTCGGTCACGGCCAACTTGGTTCCCAACACATGTGGCTCGGGCTCATCTTGATTAATTGCATTAGCATCCATAACTGACAGCACCTCGGTAGGCGCAATCTCTTGCTGAGACTTTGGACTTTCAAGAACAGCCGCCGACGTTGAACTTGACCCCACTTCGGTCGGCTTCTTAACAGTGGTTTTTTGGCCAGCGGTCCTCTTCACCAATGCTCGCACTAAATCTCTCCTCATGGCGTTAGTCAGTCGCAGATCTCGACTCTTACCAAATTTAGATTGAAGATCCTTTTTCGGATACTTACGTCTAAACTCTTTGGCGTCCTTAATGGATCGGTAACCCAAAAAACCGAGGAGCGGATAGTACACTGCACCAAGACATAAGGCCGGTTGAGTCCTCAACAAATTATTTTACATATTTCAATATATCAATAAAGACACAAGGCACCAAATTTCTCTTACTGGGGTCAAATGTAGAAGTCGAAACTCCGGGAGACAAACCAGCAGCTTCGAGTTTGGAATCTACGACAAGTTTCCTATAATCCCGGATATCTTTATCAAGGCCAGCTAGTACAATTAATTTTCTGCCGAATTCCGGACTCAATTTCGGCTCCTTTTGCTTCGTCTCTTTTTCTACGAAGGGCAAAATTTCCAACCTGTTAGTACACAAAACAAGACCGACATCAGAAAAATAAACAAGGACTGAATAACAAAATAAACTCACTTGCTCCGGAATGAATAAACATCGGAATTGTCATCCCGTCTATTCGCGGTTCATGGAAAAAACTCTCGGACTGCCATTCTCCTCCAACCCACAACCATTCTTCTTGGAAGCCATGGAGGGTTTCCGGGATGTCGGTTATTATCTCACCGACCTGTAGACCATGTTGCGGTTTTGCTCCAGCAAAGAAACAACATGAAGACTCCGCCACTCTCCTCTTCGGACTCTTCTTAAAGGCGTAGATACTTCTTATTTCTTCACACGATGGTAACCCCTCGCCCTGTTCGTGTAACAGTACCATTAAGCCGATTATCTTCTTCCAACTATTGGGGGTAATCTGGCACAACGGTAACCCCCAACTTCGGAGGTATTCCGTAATCAAATTCGGCAATGGAATCTCAATCCCGACCTTAGACTCTCCGCAAAGACTCCGACACAACCCGGAGGAGGGCTAGTTATCCTTTCCCCGGGTAAGGTGCAAAAATCTTCACCGAAGGCGGAATCCGTACTTGTTCCCGGAGCATCACCACATCGGCGTCCGTTAAAATACTGGGCTCCCCCTCAAAATCAATTGCTGGGTCAGGCCACTTCCTCACTGGTCTCCTCCAGTGAGGTGCTTCAATATCGACAGCGTTTTCCTCCATTACACAATCACCGTCCTCATCGTTCAGTTGAATATCAAGATGCCTTACCAACATCGGATCCCACCGATGATACTCAAAAGCCAGCTCGACCAATTATGAGTCATGGTACACCTCCAACGGAACCGACTCGGTACTAGAAGAACTTGCTACAGCCTTACCCTTCCCATTCGACGCCATCGAATAAAAAAGAAGAATACAAAACGAAGAAGCGAATAAAAATTGAAGATGAAACTTACCAAGGAATCTGCAAACAAATAACGCACAAGGGATAACTCCCGAGTTTGCAAGGAAAATTTGATAGCAAGATTACTGTTTGCAAGAATTCAAGGATTAAAGCGAAAGTGAAGAAAAGTTAATCAAAAATCCCGGTGCCCTATTTATAAGCCCTAATTTCTGACCGTTAGGATTCTCAATCGACGGCACGTGTGATCGACGCGATCTTTCCTCCCCAAACGGCGCAATCAAGTGGTCGTTATTTTATTAAAGTAGTCGTTACTGTACTTAAGACCATTACGGCGCGACCCTTCACGCTGTACATTTAATATGCCCGACCGTTACGTTTCTTCGAGTTATCTCAAACACTGCCCATGATCTGTCAAAATTCTGCCAAGTGTTTTCACCTCGGAAACCAGCTCTCACTTCGAAACAGACGATCCACTTCGGTCACCTCGCATACATCAGTACATCAAGGACGGGCGTTTCCAGCCTCCAATTTCCTACCGATTCGAAGCCTCTAGTTGTTTTGCAATACCGGCGACCATCACTCCGTATGCCCGCCGATATTGGGGGCCTCTCCGTTATCATCCGACTCGGTAAAGCACTATTAAGGGCCTTGAACAGCGTCTTAAGCAAATTTAACTCCAATGCCGACGTGACCCAAAGTCACCCCGGTTCGCACGACAAACTGGTACAACCACAAAAGACAGAAGTGATCATTACCAGCCGAGGTCATCACCTCCTAAGTAGGTGACAAGGCGCCTACACGCCATTCTCGCAAATTACGAAATCTGCTATCATTCAAGTGGGGCCCACTAATCCTGCCGCCCATCAAAAAGTAGCTTTATAGAAAAAGCAATGCACGAATCCCGATATGTGTATCAAAAAGTTACTATAAATAGCGAACTGATATTATTTGTACGGGATTCGATTCTCGAACTAAACTTTTTTATTATGAAACACGAAACAGCTCACAGAAGCTTTTCACCTCGGACCGGGGCTATTGTTGAGTATTTCATCCATACTTTACGTTCGAATCATTTATAATCATTAACTAAATACAACATTAGATCGTTGTTAAGAATTACATAACAACAATAATAAGGAATGATATTAAAATGCAATTAATACATGTAACATGACCATAAATAATCAACATATTTATGGTAATCCGAACCTAATTATTTTTTGTTTGGAGTTAAATTAAAATTTATCCAAGCCTAATAACGAAGCATATAATTTTGCCACATATGATTCCGAAGTACCAGAAACAACCACATAGGCTCAGCGCATTCTGGATTAATGTATAGGGGAAGGGATTATATATATATAGATATTTTTAAGAGGAAATAGTTACTATTCCAAAAATAATCAAACTTTTTTTATATAGATAAAAATATGGATATATGTTTATGATATTTGATTGCAAACTATGTGAAAATTTAAATTAAAAAAAAAAAATGTATGGCACTATTATTTTTGGGTGGTTTGTTTAAAGGGGAGGGTCAAACACACAAATTATTTAAATGACCCTTTTGAAAAAACATTTGTTTAAATAACCTTTCCATTAAATAAAGGTAAATTAAAAATTT